TGCGGTCGGTTAACCGTACCATGACTTAAATAAAATTGATACGGCTAATCGATAAAAGCAACGATTTTACGGTTTTTCGGTATGATTCAAGTGTTATGATTTTTTTGTGCCCACCCTTACCTCAAACTACAATGACAATATAAAATTCTCAATAATTCACGTACACTCAATATAAATTACTCAATGCTATTCTGTTAATTCAACATACTCACACATAATGTTTGTTAATTCAATATACTAAAAATAAAAAAATTCAAGGAAAATACAAATTTATTAAAAATCCATGGTGATAATGTAAAGGTTATCAATTTCATGAAACATCGAGTGTATGGATAGGGAGGCAGTCTGGATGGTTCAATTATTTCAAAGTTTTCACATAAAGTTTTTGTTTACCTATCAACCATTGTTGTTCAAGAGCAGGGGAGGTAGTCTGGACGCTTCAAGAAGGAGGTCTACGACGGGTCTGCGGTTGTCTGCGACGGGTGTGGACTTCTAGCGAGCGGGTATCACCTATTCCTGCTGCGAGAGGGATTCTGCAACAGCCTGTGCGACGGCCGAGGGTTTGCCGCGACTTCGTGATGGGGCTGCGCCAGACTTTGTTCGAGGGGAGGTGGGAATGGTCTGTGACTGCTATGGAGTGTGGGGACTTCGTTCGGACTTCAGCGGAAGGAGATGGTCATGGAGTGTGGGGACTTCAGCTGAAGGGGACGAAGGGTTCTGTTTTTTTGGAAAAGGAGGGCTGGCTTTTTTTTTGGGGGGGGATGGGGGGTAAAAAAATAAATGTACTCCGTATTTATATGGTGTACACTAAAGTGTACACCTTTGTGTACAAAAAGCAATTTTGTCAGAATATTTAGCTAATGTGTACTCCCTCCGTCCCAGAAAATTCTTCCAACTTTCCTTTTTGGGACGTCCCAGAAAATTCTTCCAACTTCACCTTTTTGATTATTTGTGTGGCTCACATTCATTTCACCTTTTTCTTACACAACTACAACCATACATTTCTACTTTATTTCACTACCTAAATATGCGATCCAACTCAAAGTTGGAAGAATTTTCTGGGACGGAGGGAGTAATAGCTAATTTTCTATACAATACCTAAGTTATAGATAGAGATATATGAGCTAGTTAGATAAAATGTGTAGTGTACATTATTTGAATCTCCATTACTAGATAAGGTCACGATTTAAAAATTTGTCAATTTTCTTTTTCTTGTTGCAAGAAGTTTGTCACAATTCGTATGATTATTTTGCTCTACATAAATCTATGACACAAAGCTTTTATATTATTCCCTCCGTTCGCGAAAGAAGTTCCTCATTTGACTTTTATACACTTTTATGCAAGTAAACTTATCAGAGGATAAATTTTACTGTTTTGACACTGTTTCGACACTGTTTGGCACTGTTTGACACTGTTTTGCACTGTTTGGCACTGTTTTGATGTAGATAACTTTCCATTTAAGGAAATGAGAACTTAAATTAGGGAAATTCAAATAAGAAAAGTGAGAACTTCTTTCGGGGACGGAGGGAGTATCATTTTACATGTCTATAAGCTTGATAAAAATATGTAAGAAAAACTTATTTTAAATGAAGTTATTGTTTTTTAGCCTAGGGTCAGAGTAGGGGTCTAAATGAGCCAAGCCGCTCGCGAGCTGCTCGTGGATCGCTCGAAAAAAGCTCGACTCAAGCTCGGTCATATTAAGCTAGACTCGAGTGCGGCTCGACTTGAATAGTTAACAAGCTCTGTTCAAGCCTATTTATTTTAGGCTCGTGGCTCGCGAGCCGGTTCACGAGCTTTTGTGTTATATTTTATATATAATAAATATATGTAGTAATTATATATATACTTTTTTGAAAAATATATTCTAATTTAGGACTATTCCATCTTTAATATTAATCATAGAGTATATTATAATAGTAATAATTTCAAAAATAATAACATGTGCGTAGTATTATTATTATAACCATAATAATTTGTAATAATTATAATATGTACTCTTAATATTTATTGATAGTAAAATAAAGAAAAAAATGTTAGTAAATTAGAGATAAACTAAAAATGAGAATGAATAAGTACACATATAATATTTTAGCTCAAGTTCGAGCATCTTATTCAAGTTCAAACCAACAAAAATTAATTAGCGAAACTTGACCTGAACTCGAATCAAGCTCGAATGAAACTCGAGCCGAGCTCGGCTCGAGATCGAACTCGAATTATTGAACTCGTGCAAGCTCGAGATTGAGCTCGAACTCGTGAATTCTTATCAAGCTCAAGCTCAAGCTCAAGCATATCCATGTTCGGGCTCGGCTCGTTTGCACCCCTAGATCAGAGGGAGGGGGCTGAGGGACTATAGAGTAAATATGTAAAGGGTGAAGTAAGCATGCTCAAACTAACTGACTAGTGCAGTGCCATGCCAAATGCAGGAATTATGATATATGAGCTATACTTAAAAGGAAGTATTCGGTTGTGATATATGAGCTACACTTCACAAATAGGGCGTTACGACGATATACAAATAGGGCGTTACGACGATATACGAGAGGAATAGAGAAAAACTCGTGATTGGTGTGGAGGACGGACCCTACCTTGAAACCTTGACTAGTACTAGGGGTAGCAAATGCTATTCAACTTTTTATTCCTCTCCGGGCTTGCCAATCCTGGAGCCAATTACCATTGTCAATCACCCCCCCCCCCAACCTTGTTGTTGAGGTTTATTCCTTCAACTCTTGGATCCAACACGTAAGCCCAGTGATTTCGAGTGGATTGTTTGAGTGTGGGTGACTAACTAGTCCAGTAACAAGTAAGATGGATTAAGGGAAGAGAGAAGCAGTAAAGGACCGGATATTATTAATAATGAATAACGTCCCGATACAATACTTTTGCTAAGGCCGAAGGCCGTTCGTCTTACAAGGCAGTAAAAGAGCTGCGAGTAAGGACTAAGTAGCTAGAGTGCTAAGAATAGTAAGTTGTCAACCCCTTACAATGAAATAAATGCTGCTATTTATACCACAAATGGGCATTTGGCTATGCTAACGTGGAGGGCTGTGTGTGGCTGGTGTCTCAACCACCAAATTTCCAGCATTAAAAGCGCTTCCCGCCAGAATCTGGGTTTCCCGCCTAACCTGTGGAGACGGACGTCCATCTGGGCGGCGGGGAAGGGGGAGGATGCTCCTGACGATACTGCAAAGGGTTGTGGGCCGTTCGTATCCTGGCCCTTGGGAGAATTTGCCATATAGATTGGATTGGGCATCATGTGGCTGCGGCCTTTGGTGGAGACGTTCGTCGCCATTGTGTTTGCTTGTGGTTTTGATTCACCATTACCCCGTCTGGGCGTTCGTCGGGGGTAAATGGGCCTCTGGACTGGACGTTCGTCCGAATGAGGGGGTAAATGGGCCGACCCTCCATTTGGGCCATTAACCCAACACTTGTAATAGGTTGAATCACAATCATGGAGCAAGGTGTGGAACTCACATGATATACAATGAACAAGGCGCACAAAGTGACAAAGACACCGGTGATTTTGATTTTTGGTGTACATAATACATGTAGTCATCTAATGTTTGTAAATATATACTCCTATACTTTTTATTGAGGAGTAGGTCTTTTTTTTGTTATTACAGTTACCTTTCCAATATTTTTGCATTGATGGACTGTGATTTGACAAAATGTACACAAACAACCACAATAGGCCAAATGTAAACAGACTACCACACAATTAATTGGAATGAACAATGGTTTCATAGAAATTAAAAATTAAGACAAAGTACTATATATAGAACTACATCTCTTATTATATACTCCCTCCGTAACATAAAAATCTTCCCACTTTCATTTTTCGTCTGTAACAAAAAAATCTTCTCATTTATAGATCTTCCTATCATACCCTCAATAATTCTGAAAATAATACACTATTACAACTACTTTTTTGGATTTATCCTACATTCCATCACATTATTCCACTATCTTCCCATCATACCCTCAATAATTCATATCCTCTTTCACTATTCTTAATCTACCTACTTTTAAAATGAGAAGGTTTTTAAGTTACGGAGGTAATAATACGATGGCAGACAGTATCACATGCACACGACCTTTCCTTTGAGGTCACCTCCTCTCCCCGGGGCGGAGGCATGTAAGAGATTAAGGGGTCATGCATGCCCCCCATCTTTTTTAGATATAAATATTACTATAAGAAACTATCCCCCACCCCCCCAAAAAAAGTAATGAAGGCAATTAGTAAAGTTGTAAGTATATTTTGTTATGATATTTTTGAATTTTATAGTTGTAAGTAAAGTTGTGTAACTTTTAGTTCTTCTCATTATTAGTCTCATAATTTTACTCGCAACAGATTAGGTCCTCTAACTAATACTAGTAGGTCATTGCGTTTTAAAAATATTTTTACCTGAAAGTACACTTTATGGTGAAAAATTCGACATCGACGACATATTATCCGGTGAATTATTTGTTGGAAAGTGTACTTTCCTATGGATAAATTGCAAAAAAATATACTAGTATTAGTTACATGATCAAATCTACAAACAAGTGATGTTACTGGATAAAAAAACGGGCACAGAGTAAATTTACGGGGCTAAAATTGTAAATTTCACTTTAAATTTTAATACTTGTACCCGTTATATTATATTCCCCTCTGTCCTAAAGTCTAGCTCCACCCATGTTCTCTCCAAATCTGAAAGACCCTTCCTCCATGAAATCCGACCCAAGCAGTCTCCATGGAATCACACTGGTGGGGTCTATTACTAAAAATAGAAGTGTGACATTTTTATACGAACCAAAAAGGAAATCAAGACACTTATTACTTATCATGATATGGAGACAATTTATACCACATACAAGTCATTCAAGAATGAAAGTCGTTGTAAATAGTACGACAAAAAGTCTTGGTGTACACCCTGGGTTACACCCTGGGGTACACCATATATAAACTTTCTTTTTTTACTGCTTTCTTTATCCCTCTTCTCACACAGCTCTCCCATCCCCATTCCTCACGCACATTTCTTTCTCTCCCACATCCCTCTTTGTTCGTTCTCTTCTTCCCACCTTTCTCTCTGTTTTTTATTTTTTCTTTCCAGATATCATGGATGATTTTCTAGCATATTTGATGGTGGATGGAGAAGTGACCGGAAACGATGGAGGTTTGGAAGATACCCCTTACCTGCGACGGATGACGGACAACGGAAATGGAAGAAACGTGGAAGCTCTGGACGTCGAAAATGGGGGAGCTGTGAACGAAGAAGATGGAGTTGCGAACGGAAATGGTGGATCTGTGAATGAGGAAGATAGATGGTGGTCCGAACAACCCTAGGGACGAAGACTTAGGTGGGACGGGTGGCAGACCTGTGACACAAGGCGTCAACGAAGTTTCGATATTTGACGACCGAGATGATTACAGCTGTGACGGGAAGAGAATAGCAGGGAGAACATGAACACAGATGTTGAAGGTATTTTCTTTGACATACAGACAACTTACATACTCAGTGTCGGTGTGTACCGACAACTAATGTCATTGTGTACAGAGTAGTGTCGGTATGTATAGACAACTAAAGAAATCCTCATTGAGTTGATGCATACCTACAAAGATGAATGTTGTATCTGTGAATGAGTTAATCACTAGTGTTCAATTTACCCTTATTCAGATTCTCTAAGTGGAAAATTTATAGAGGAGTTATTTTTAATGAGTGCATTGACAATAATAAAGTGTTCAAAGTTTGTTTCAGTTTATCACCGTAATGACTTCGTCAATGAGTCATTGTAAACAGATAATACAAACAGATAGAATATATATTTCCTTAATCTCCTAGCCATATCTAAAAGTTACCGATTGGAAGTTACTAAAGGTGTATTCTACCCGAAAATGATCTTTTTTCTTTCCTTTTGTTTATAGAGAGCAGATGCATTACTTATTTTAGAGGGATGTGGTGACAGAGGTGTGGAGATAAAAATACTTTATGCTAAGTATGAAAAAAATTCAAATGGGTGTGCTTAAAATGTATGTAACTTTCAAGAGTGACGAGGTCATGGAAAGCTATAATTTATCGTTTCTATTTTGTTTGATGTTTGTGAAGAAAGGTATCTTTATGCCAAGGTGTGAAAATGGAATCTAGCTTCATTTGTTCAACCATGCAAAATTATGGAAAATAAGATTTTCCTATCAACTTATTTCAGACAAAACACAATTAGGATCAACTAGGACTTTCACATAGGGTTATAATGGGGTCTGTGGGATAGGCTTATGAACAAAGGGAATTAATGAGGAAACAAAAGAAATGAACTTGACATAGATTTAACAAATTTAGAGAGGTACTAAGTAGTGAGTAGTAGCTTTTGACAATAATCTATACAACATTTGTTATTTTTAATTGTTAGGGGTAGTAAACTAGTAACTAGTAAAAAAAAGTAAATTAATGTACAAAAAAATATACAAAAGAGAGAAGCATATACATGGATAATTAGCCTTGTTTAGATTTTTTTATTCTTTTCATTTTCCTTTTTTTCTGTTTTTTTTTTTTACTTCATTTTCTTTTTATTCTTGTTTAGATGGAGCTGCGACGGAGGACAGAAATGGTGGGCTGTGAACGAGGAAGATGGTGGTCCAAACAACGCTAGGGACAAAGACTTAGGTGGGACGGGTGGTGGACATGTGACACAAGGCGTCAACGAAGTTCCGATATTTGAAAGTCGGGATGATTACAGTTGTGAAGGGGAAGAGAATAGCAGGGAGAAGACGAATGAGATGTTGGAGGTATTTTCTTTCACACACACAGATAGCTTACATATGCAGTGTCGGTGTGTACCGACAACTAATGTCGCTGTGTACAGAGTAGTGTCGGTATGTATAGACAACTGAAGAAATTCTCATTGATCGAGTTAATGTATACCTACAAAGATGAATGTTGTATCTATGAATGAGTTATGTATCTATGAATGTTGTTAATGTATACCTACAAAGACGTATTTGATTTATGAATATTGTTAATGTATACCTATCAAGATTTTTTTATATCTATGAATGTTGTTAATATATACCCTACTACTATAATGTATACCTACAAAGATGAATGTTGTATCTATGAATGAGTTAATGTAAAATGATTATTTGATTATGTGAACAGATGGAGATAACAATGGTGATGAATGTGAACAAATTCGAAAGATAGGCATGAAGTCTCCTACAAAAGATGCAGTTTATGATTTCTACAAAAAGTGTACATATGTCGGTGTGCACAGGCGAATGAAAGAAATGCTCCTGGGTGATTGTACTGACAATTAGTGTCGGTGTGAACAGAGTAATAGTGTTTTTGTAGGTGTACACAGACAGTACTTTCTTTGTAAGTGTTTGTGTGACAATATGGTTTGAGTTTAGTAATATGGTTTGAGTTGTTAACTTGTCATGTAAGATTACCGAAATGTAATGGCCTTTGTTGTGTGAGTTATATACAAAAGTGAGAGATTTATGATTTTATTTGGTTTGTAAGTGTTACTTTGCCAACATGGTTGGAGTTGGGTTGGAGTTGTCTGTGAGCTTCATATGATATGCATGTGACGTTCATATCGTTGTCTATGAGCTTTATGGTAGTTGTTTGTGAAATTCAAATAGTTGTGTGTGAGTAATATTGTTATCTCTAAGATTCATATGTGTTAGTGTAATTTAAGAGACAACACATTCATATATGTGTGTGTGTGTGTGTACAAATGCTACCAATCACTCTTCTTTTATTTATTTCAAGTCCTTTCAGTACACACATAGTAATAACAACTACACAGATACTATTGCCGGTGCACACATACAATAATAACAACTAAGAGATATTACTTTCGGTGTACACAGACAATATGAACAAGTCACAAACATATGTGTAGACATAATAATAGCAAGTACATAAATATTTCCTTCCTCGTTGTTGTAGCCTACCCGAAGCGCCCTGGAAGCGAATGTATTCACATGCAAGAATATTACTCACAAACAATTCCAAGAAGTTTATAGACAATTCATATGAAGCTCATAAATAACAATGTGAAATGCTTCATCTTGTATAATGATGTACATTATTGGTTGTATTGTTTTGTACAACGTTGAACACTTGCCCAAGTTGATTGTATCCATCTGTTTACAAAATCAAATAGTTCTATTTATTGAACTACAATATTGACATACATCTTTCATACATTTTGTAGGTGACCTACACAAATCTATATAAATAATACATTTATTACAATATTTGTGGGTAAAGTCAATGAGAATGTCTTCATTTTTCTGTACACACAGACACCAGATGTTGTTATAATCAATGAGGACGTTGTCATTCATCTGTCTCACCTCATCATCATTTTTCTCAGAAGCCGAATCACCTTCCTACAAACGTAAATAAATATGTAAAAAGTTAGACAAACACAAACTTGTTTATGGAGACAACAAACTTCAGAAAATACACAAACAAATCCAACAGTTTCATTTCATACACAACAATATGAACGACACAAAAACACCAAATAGCTTCAATAACCTACCACTTTTGTATATATCTCACACAAGAAACTCACACACACTTTGGTAATCTTACATAACAACTCACAGACAACTCCAAGTCAAATCATCCGGGGATACAGACACTGCAATTTTGAACACAGATAGATTATGTATTGCACAGACAAAAAGTATCGGTGTACCTTATTTCATGCCTGGGACCTTCTTCCACTTAAAGACACCTTACCGACACTTTGTGCATTTCACAGTCAGAAAGTGTCGGTGTACCTTATTTCAAGCCTGGGACCTTCTGCCACTTAAAGACGCCGTACCGACACTTTGTGAATTTCACAGACAGAAAGTGTCGGTGTACCTTATTTCATGCCTGGGACCTTCTGCCACTTAAAGACACCGTACCGACACTTTGTGAATTTCACAGACAGAAAGTGTCGGTGTACCTTAATAGGCAATAACCTCTACAAGACTACAAGGTGGAATTCGTTTCAACTGGTGTCAACCAGTTCTGCCACCAAAGCCCTGGAATTCGTTCCATGATGCCAACATCCGATTTACTTAGTATTTAGCAAAAATCTTCAGTAAAATTCTTAAACTAAGTGCACATGACTTTTCCAACACAAAATCAAATTGATTTTATTAAACTAAAATATAAGCCTACAAAAACAAAAATTAAAACCCTAAGGTGACACAAACACTGCAATTGGAAGTCACACTTCACCAATTCATGATGAACCAACTGCACTAGAAATCTAGCAGAACACATGACAGAAATCAGTATATGACAAACAAAGAAAACTGAGCTGAAAAACTCACACGCATATGAATCAAATTGAATCCAAATCAGTAAAGGAACACGGTAGAAAGCAATGTTCCCAAGCACTGGTCAACACTCCTTGATGTTGGTAGATTAATTGAGTATTAAGGACTCAGAACTTTAACAAGTAACACAAGAAAAGAAGTAATTGGGCATGAAAACAAGTATTGTTTTATATTAACTGAAAGCCATGTTCCCAAGCATTGTTATTGGTTTGGTGAGCTTCTTGATTTATATTAACTGAAAGTAATATTACACCATATTGTTTCGAGTTTTATATAACTGAAATCCAATTTTTTCTAAAAAATAACCCACTTTTGTATATAACTCACACAAGAATATAACAAATACCTCAAATTATACTATCGGTGCACCACACCCAATAAGATATATATACCACACAGCTTAACTGTCGGTACACACAGACAAAATTCAATAACCAAAAATACAGGGAATGCGTGTACATATAAAAAGAACAAAGATAACAACTCCAATAATAACCACTTTTGTATATAACTCAAATAAGGAACTCACATACACTCTACTAATCTTAAATGAAAAACACAGACAACATCACAGTATCACACATGTTACTTAACAACTCACAGACACTTCAAACATGTCACATAAGAACTCACAGACAACTACTACTCAAACCATAAGGTTATACCGACACTGCAATTCCAAACATACACACACAACCGATTAAGGGTTCTAGCTTCCATTTTTAATTTTTAAACACAAAAATTGAAATTAACGAAATGGTAAACATAGTTATCATTATATTCAACTCCAATACACAATCAAAAACCTAATAAAGAAGACACATGACTTCATACTTACAGTCGGCCATGACGAAGAGGCTTGTTCGCACCATGGCCGCAGGTCAGAGTGTCAGACCCTTGATCTTTAACTTCAACCTTCTTCTTGAGCTTCAATTGTCGTCCACGACCATCGTCTTCACCATACTTCGTCACCTCTAGTGCTCCATCTTCGACGATGAACAAGTTGCGTAAATAGGCCACCATTTACAATTCCGAATGTAAGAAGGTGGATTGCCGGTTGTGGGGAAGCATGAATCGTGAAGAGTGAAGAAGAAGACTTTTGGGGGGTTTGTAGAGTTGAGATGAGGCGGATGAATTTGGTGGGCTGAGGTCAATTTGATGGGCAAATGGAAGGGTAAAAGAATTGGGAGGGGTATTTATGTGGTGTACCCCAGGGTGTAACCCAGGGTGTACACCAAGAGTTTTTCATAGTACGAAGTATTACACTAAACATCGATGTTACACATATATTTACACTAGATACATCTTAATATATATGTCACTTTTCATTGGGCCGCAATGAGTCGGTACAAAGAATAAATTTGAAATTTTTTTTACACATAATTTTTTACACTAAAAATATAAGCATTTTTAAAATTTGGGCTGGTCCAGAACTAGGGATGACCCTCCCCTAACTCCGCCCATGACTGGCATATTTTTCAGGACATATTTACATCATTTGACACACTTATACTGATTTTATATGCAACATAAATTATTTATATCAACAAACATAGTACAAGTACATATTTTTCAAACGTACTCCATATATTTTTTAACGCCACTTACATTGTTTTTTTTTTACATCCAACACATATTATATTCATCAACATATACATATGGACTATATTTTCATATTATAAAGCCAGTTTGGTGACCCATTTTTCGTCTTATCAAACTTATTATCAACCGACTTTTCACCAAACACGTAATTTTTGATTTCGCGCACTGAGTTTTATAATAAGCAAAAAAGTAAGGTTGAAGTTACTTTTCTAGTTGCATTGACTGAAGTTACTGTAGATGATCATTTTAACTATTTTTCATATAATTTTTTATTTAATTTATTAATAACAAATATTTTAAATATAATTTTTTCATGAATCAACAGAATCAGCCAATACACCCAATTCAGCCAGAACTTAATAAATTCAGCAGAATCAGCCAAATCAACTAATTTTAGTGTTAACAAACGGATCTTGAACGTATTTACACTTTATGTTAATATATTTGTCCTATATTGGATTGATGTGACATAAAAATCATGGTTATTGGTCATATCAAATTAACTTTTTAGAATGTAATTTCATGTCCTCAGGCCTTAGCATTTTATAATCAGATTTTTTTTACATCTAACATAAATTACTTACAAGACATAAAAAAATATAGTTACAGTTTTCAAACAAATTTACGTCTTTTAAAACTCCATTTACCCTGATTTTTATCTAACATAAATTGTATACATCAACAAAACATACTTCGTATTAACTACTTATAAATATTTTCAAATGTATTTACATCTTTTGTAACACCGCAAACATTCAAACTTTTAATATCTAACATAAATTATTTAGAGATCTTTTAAAAATTATTATTGAAATAAAACTTATTTACAAAAAATGACTAAATTTGTCATAAGTATATGATCACTTTAAGTGTAAATATTGAACGTAAATTATATGACTAAATATACTATAATAATCACCTAAGATGTCACACCTTATAACTCTATTTTAGTCATATTGTACAAAAATATGACTACTTATGTAATTACTCCATATTTTTTATTTCTATGCCGCATCACCGCTTATGTATACTTATTTTTTGCATCTACATTAATTATATACATCAATAGACATACAAACTAGATTTATATATTTTTAAAACATATTTGCATCTTTTATAAGACTAATTACACTGAAAAGTCCTGCAAAAATACATTTCCAACCAAAGAATATGTATGAAACAAATAATCACGCACAAGAAAAATAAAAATAAGGCTACATCAAATAGACAATGCAATTTTTCATGATCTGTTTCACATTCGCAATGAATTTACTATGGAGTAACATAAACCCGATAAAGAAACATAGAGAGAAAGATGAATATCTATAATGGATTCTGTATGAGAAAGAGCATATGAAATGCAACATGCTTTAACCGTTTCTAACTAATATGAACAATGCTTTCACTGTTTCCAACTAACACCATTAAGTAGCTAATGTATATCAGAGTATAACAACAATGTGAATTCTCTGGACCAAAAATGCAAAACTACTTGGAGCCAGCCATATATACTCTTCAGTTTTTTTTCTCACTCTGAGCTAGTCACTCTCATATCCAGCCGCTTCTCTGCAATCCCGTTGCTTTTGATGCTTTAACCTCCTTCTTTCATCAAATTCATTCCACCCATCTAGCTGACGGAGATAATCAGTTGTTATTTCAGTACCATCCACATCCAATATGGAGAGTTGATTACAAAGTCTGAATATGGTAGTGGGAAGAGATTTGAGCCAACTATTGTTTCTGAGATGCAATTCCTGAAGAGAAATAGACATCAAACTATACATTTATAGGGCTTGTAGGAACTGTTTGGCGGTTGGAACTAAATTAGTAGAATCTGAATTACTGAGTCAGATAAAACTGCATTAGTAAAGATAAGAATTTGCCCGATTCGGCAAAAACTACATGTGATTCATACATGATTTCATGAATTGGGGGGATTGCCATTAAGAATATCCCGATTTCGGGCATTTGGTTAGGTACTTAGGTTAGGATAGGAGTATAGGACTACAAGAAGAAAACATTTCCTCGAAGTTTGAATAGGATCACCCTTGTTTCTTCTTCTAGGACCAGTCCACTCCCAAAGGATTTATTATTAACTCCTCAGTTCTTCCTCTTTTGGGACTGAATGAGTCCTGAGTCCAATTTTTAACACAATGCAAGGTTATCCTAGCTTGTGCTTGAAACAATAGTTTCTTAATAATATTCATGTTCTCCAGAAAGTGGCCTTATTTTCTTTCCAATTCTGGGAATCAATTTCTAGGGGATGGGAGCGAAGATTTAGTTTCCTGCGAAGTGATTTTGATTTTCTACTTATTCCCTTTTTCTCAGGAATAAGAAGTCATTCCATGTGTGACATAATAGTTATGAGGACAGGGCTCTCTACATATGATAGACAAGCATATATCGCTACATGTACTTGGAAAAATAGTGTGAGCAGTACTACATGTGAGACCATTAAATATCATCCATATCCCTCATAGGGCTACACCAAAATTAATTATAGACGGAGTAAACAAGTGCAAATTATATATATTGACCTTCAAGTTCTTCAGCTTGCAAAGGTTATCAGGTAACTCAGTCAGAAGATTAGATGAAATATCAACCTGTATCAATAGTTGGCGGTTAGTCATATATACCTTTAACTAGAAGATAGAACAGAACACTGAAGGAACTGGTGGTGGAAGCTCCAGAGAATACGCAGTCTCAATAAAATGCATGCAAGTATCTCAATAAGATAAATCAATCGAGTTTCATAGGAAGTCATACATCATCAAGAGAAGCACACCCACATATGCTAGTCGGAATGGTGCTTAACCTGCAATGCCCAAAACATCCACTGTTAAGATACTTAAGGTAGACCATTCCAATTTCGAGTTAAGGAAACAGAAATTAAAGTAGGTGTGCATTTGGGAGAGACAGGAGCAGCCCACTGCTCGAATGGAGCGAGCTACAACAAGTGGTTTAGATGAATTGTGATTGAAGCGAATAAAGTAGCAGACCATTCCAAATGTTAAATCTTCAATTGGAAGGTTGATTGTCCAGTAAAAAAGGTGCAATTGGAATCACACTAGTAAATGCATCCTAATTCCTAAGAGCAACATACGGAGTACAATATTAGCAGGAAGTGAAGAAGAACACACACATTGTGGCTTACCCATACATGCATTAGTAAAACTAAACTATTAGGAAACCTTAAGACCTCAAAATCTGATGCTAGAGACCTATAAAAGAAGTAAACTAAATAGAAAAAGGGAGATGAAAATATATTGGAAAACAAGAAGTATATTTTCCGCATTGCTTTACCTGTTGTCGTTGGCCTTCAAGACCTCAAGTTTTTTTAAAAGGCCAATTTCGATCGGGAGAGAAGTCAACTTGTTTTTTGCAATACGAAGCTGCTTCAAGCTTGTCAATTCACCCAGGTTGGAAGGTAAGATTGTTAACCTGTGCATGCCATTGCATATGAGTGGACAATGTGAATTTCATCCCAAAGTAGGATATTTAGAGCAGTCACAGAATTAATACTACAAGAAACTGTTAAATTGCATACGAACTTACAATGAGCCCAAGAGATATTAGGGAGGGACTTACTAATGGTGATAAACAAGAAGTATCACCATTAGTAAGACTCTGAGGTATCTTTTGGGCATATTTGACAATTAAAACGGAGATCAACTTAATATGGAATACATGCAACTAACCTGTTCTCATTCAAAGATAGAACTATCAGAGACTTCAAAGACTCTATCCCTTCCCAGCTTAAATTTTTGTCCTCAATGCCATTTGCATCAAGAAGGAGATTCTGAGAATTATTTGGCATGTGTTGATCATGATCATAAGTTGATATAGCAAACACTTATCACAAGAAAGCTATACTTACATGAAGAGAACTTAAATGGCTAATTCTGGCAGGAACTTCTTCTAAGGAGTTACCATTCAGCGCAAGATATTTTGCAGAACTTCCACATTCCCATACTGCATCAGGGATGGCCTTCCGATTTCCAAAAAAAGAAAAGGTTGGCAATTCAACCAAAAGTTACAAGAGATTCATGCCTTCAGGTGGCAATATAGATCTATCAAAGCAATAATAAGTGATAAGAAATGCATGCTCATCTTACCTTCAGATTAGACTTATATAACGCTATCACTCCTGTAAACTTCCATCGCTCAATCTGATTCCGATAGTTGGAAGCAACAAAGTCGTCCTGAAAAGCATACAACATAGTCCAGAGTCGTGTCTTAATCATTTGATTATATTAAAGCATAATTCCATTTCTTGATTTTTCTTTAACAAAATTCTGGTGTCACCAATAAATTTAAGAAGGAACATAAGAGAGTGAATGTGCGATACCGCTTCGGCTTTGTCCGCTTGGTATAGCATGATCTTCGAGCCATGGTCAACTTCGGAGGACCTAAGTGTCATCTCGTCAACAAGACGCTTCCCTATATCCGTAAACGCACGAAAAATTACGTACAGGAAATGTGAAGTTGGATGGACTTGGAAAACGAGTAAAACCTTTAGAGATGAGATTTTGGTCGCCAGGGAGGACATTAGTGCGCGGCTGAATGAGAGACTTGAGCTCTTTGACTGTAGAGTCGGCGGAGATATTCAATGGAATCAAACTTTCCTTGAATTTCACATTTACTGTAATCGTAGTCGGTTCGCTGCCGCCTGCTTCTTCCATTTCCGTCTGTCTGTTTACTTTCCGGCGGTGGCTGTTATGTGAGTTATGTCTCGAGTCCTGACTCAGTTTTTAGCGCCCAGTTTTTAAAGACGCATTGCAGCGGAGCAATTACCATTTTTCTTTATTTGGATCAAGAGATATAAGTGGAGTACAATAATAAGTGAATACAAAAGAATATAAACCCATACAACAAATATTCAGTAAAAGAAAATCATACTACGTAATATTTAAAAAATCGATACATTCATTATAATGTGCTACGCAATAATAATTAGTATTATTGGTAACAGAAATTTCTGTCATTCAATTATTAGTCCGCTTACCTTATTACACCTTAAAGCACTACATAATAACATATAATAGAGAAAATTATCATGCTCAATTAGTAGTCCGTTTATCTAATCCCTAAAATCGCTACATATCGGAGACGAAAGTTGTCCGATCTATTATTAGTCTGTTTATCTTATTTTACCTAAAAGCACTACATGAATAACAGAAAATGTCTCCCTCAATAATTAGTCTGCTTCTAGTATATCTAAAAGTGCTACATATGAAAGAGAAAATTTGTCTATTCAATTATTAATTCATTTATCTTATACCTAAAAGTACTACGTATGAGAGATAAAATCCTTATGTTCATTAATTAGTCCGCTTATCTTATACCAAAAAGCAGTAGTGACATAGTGACACGACGACTCTAATCACAATGACACGACGACGCTAGTCACAGTAACCCCAGCCATAGTGACATAGTGACACCACACACAATTTAAAAAGGCACTGACACAATGAGCTTTAGCTGTCACCGCTTCGGCATCCACCGGGTTACAATGACACCATCACTCCCCAGCCACCACCCGACCTTGGCCTTGCTGCGAGTTCGTATATCCTACACCCGGATGTACATGTACATCCGTTTTTTTTGTAATTAGTAGGCTGAAATGTTTCCTTATCCAGCCGCATGCACTACTCTGCCTAGTACTCCACTCGTCCTTATTCACCCGTACTCCACTCAATCCCAGCCAGTTCATGCACGTCTTCATTTATTGTTTTTTTTTGCTTATTCAATTCTCGTTTCTTCTTTTGTTTTCTTTTATTGTTTGTTCTCTTTTTTTATTTTAACAACCTTCTATTTTAATATTATATTCAATTATTATGAAAATGTAAAATCTAAAATATTATTAAATATTTCAGATTATTTTTTTCTTTCTCCAATCAAACTTCCAGCTTAAGTTTTTTATTTATCTATTATAAAATATTTTATTTATTAATGTTTTATTTCTCTATTTTTAATTTAAGATGAATATTTATTAGTTTAATAAATATTGTGTGATAGTTACAAATGTGAGTTTTGTGTTATACTAAAATGAGTATGGTGTAAAATAAGTATGCATGAGTAAAAAATTATAAAAAGAACTCGATTATATTTGTAATTTGAGAACAAACGACTATAAATTATTTTTTATATAAATTATTTCATTGCCATCATGTGTGCACAAATGAACATTTGAACACATTAGGAAATTCAAACAAACTTTTGATTTTCGATGCACATTTTGTAAGTTATGTATGCTCATTTGGTGCTGATTTTATGCTCATTTTAAAATGTCATATTAATTCATATTTCAAAATTATCATATTAGATTCGCATAAGATTTAAATTATATACATGGAAGTAAAGATAATCATGATACACAATTGCATGTTTTTGATACTCAATAAAGGAGGTTTGATGTTCAATCAAAATGTCTTGATGCTTAACTAATCAAGCTTATGATTTTCATATCATTGCTCATTTGGTAAGTAATGTATGCTCATTTTGTATTGGTGTTATGCTCAATTTAAAATGTTATATCAATGCATATCTCAAAATAATTAGACTCCTAATACTCAACATAATAGGTTTGATGCTCATTAAAATTGCATCAACGCTCATTCACCAGAAATCGTGACATGCGAATTTAATGTAATATGACACTTTTTAAATATGCATTGATATGACGTTTTACATATGAGCATAAAATCAATATATACCAAATGAGATATGTGACTTACACAATGTACATTGATATGAAAACTATAAAGTTTGTTAGTTGAAAATCACTACATTCATGGTTTCTATTAAATGAGGATTAATGAACTTTTATTGAGCATCTGACCAATTCTGTTGAGTATTAAGAGTCTGATATTGAGCATCCAGATCTCTGCTTCATATCTTATATTCACTTTCTTTTTCTTATTTTTTCTTTTATAATAATTATTAAATTATATCTATAATCAACTCCTGTGAAACTTCAATATGTGAATATAATGTAATATAGTACATTTGAAATATACATTGATATGACATTCTAAAAATGAGCATATATGAGTATAAATTGAGCATATGTAACTTACAAAATGAGCATTGATATGAAAATCATAAGTTTTTTTGATTGAGGATCAAGACATTTTCATTGAGCATCAAATCTCTTCCTTGAATATTAGAAACATGTAATCGAGTATCAAGGCATGTGCTCAATCTAGTATGCATTGATATAATTAAAATTTTAAAATGAGCATAAATCAAGTACCAAATGAGCACACAAAATGTACCAAATGAGTAATAATATGAAAATCATAAACTTTGTTATTTGAGCATCAAGACATTTTCATTAAACATCAAACCTCTTCTATTGAGTATTAGAAGCATGAAATTTAGTATCATGATCTATGCCCCCATGTGAATCTAATATGAAACTTTTGAAATATACATTAATATGACATTATAAAATGAGCACAAAACCAGTTTCAAATGAACATGCGTAACTTATAAAATGAGCATAAAAAAGTTCAAAAACTCATTTGAATTCTCTAATGTGCTTAAATGTTCACTTTTGCACATGCATCATAATGACAAACATATTTATTTTATACTATACTCATTTTAGTATACCACGAAACTCATGTTAGTAATTAGCACATACGAATTAATATTTAATAAACTAATAAATATTCTTCTTAAATTAATAAAGAAAAATAATAAAATAGTACTTTAAATATTCATCAGAAATTGAAAATTTGAAATCAATGAATAAGGTGGTTAAAAAAAGGGAAAGGACTTGAAAAAAAAGGAAAAAGAAACAAAAAAATCTATGTAAAAGGCAAAAGAAAAGAGACGTAGTGCTCCCTCCACTCACGCAGTCCACTTAGGAGTTACGAAGAATTAAGTTGACCGGCTAGACTAAAGAGGCGTAGTCCACTTACCCAGGCAAGCAGGGAAGAACACACGGCCGGAAGTATCAGCAAATAATTACAAATATATCGGGTGTACGTACACCCGGGTGTACGGTATAAATTGCCCCTTGCTGCCACCCCTTTCCCGCTCCTACTTCACCAGATCTTTCACAATCCAATATTTTAAAAGGGTTTTTCTCTGATGCCACCCCATTTTAGAGGGCACCGATGCACTACCTCCCTAAGGTTGACATGTGTGCTACTAATCTCCACATCATCTGGTCAATTGGTCTCTACTTTTAAAAAATAAAATTGCAAAACAGCCCCTTCACTCTCTTCTTCGTTTTCTCTGTTAACGGAGAGGAAACCTCCAACATCACTCCGTTTAATGACTTATTTGTATTTCAATTTCTAATTTCTAATTCTTTCCCCTCCCTTTGTTCGATTGCATCTTGTCTTGCTTGATACAAATTTCAATTTTCAAGAACTGCTACAGTACTACCCCTTTTCCATCCGATTGAACTAGTGAGAGGCTGTCGGCGGCGGCCAATCTACGACTCTTGTTCTTCCAGTCCATTCACCGTACACACCACACAGTCAGTCCTCTTCCGATTCCCTCATGCCTGCTTTTGAACTGCGTCGTCGGTTTAACACCCACGAGGTCCCTGCCTGCTCATTGTAGTGTCAATAATCGCCACAACACTTCTGGAAGCGGCGAAGCTGTGGTTTGCCTCCTTGGACCTCGGTTCTTGTCGACTAGCCGCCCATCTTTCCTCGCCTTCTGCTTTGGACTATTGGACCCCTAGGTGATGAGTTGAAGGAGATGGCACGTATTGAGGTACTCCGTACTAGTCTCACACTCTGCTAAAATTCTACATGCCTTATTGCTATCACATCCTTTTTGGGTTTACATAAAAATTAGGCTTTATAGAACCCCAGTCTCAAATTTTCATGAATTCATGTACCACATGAACATAGTATTACCTTAATTTCAATTTTATAATTGACTAAATCAATTTGCAATTTAGTAAAGCTTAGAATGTTGAACTTTTCAATGTACTGTTAGTTTCACTTTTATGATATTTCATAAGTTTTTACAATTTAGATTGATTTGTGACCCCTATATCTATTGTTAGGAAAGCTCAGAATGTTGGAATTTAAAGTAAAACTAGACAATGATGGGTTTCTTACTACCCTTCATGTTTTCTACATTCTGTTAAAGAGTTAAGGTTTAAAGGTTTCGGCAATTTGGAAATATACATATCTACAGTCATGATAATTAACATGTTATAATGAGTGGGTACTAAGAAAAAATATATGTAGTAATATGTTTTTTAGAAAACATGTTATCTTTTTTCTAAATTCAGACTAATAAATTTATAACAACACATTATCCAGTAGCTATTTGGTGCAAGCTCTTTCATGGTGTATTCAGTATTCATTTTCTGGTTGGAAGTCTGATTGTAATTATTAATTTAGGTACTGCCAATACATGGACTGAATGTGCACCTTTAATCATAAAGATGTGGAATGTTATTAAAATCTCGTCAATTCTAGTTTGCTCAGCGCCTTAGCATATAACTGTGAGAGATCACAACTAAAGTCTGATGAAGCTAAGTTTGTTTAACCTTAGCCACTAGAAAGTGTTACCCGTCAACAATATCTCTTACATCAAAGGTGGTTTACCTCCACAAGATTCATATCCTATTTCTTAGAGGGAAAAAGATTAGAAACAACAGAAGTGTTCAAAGTTCAAGTACGTTTGGACTCAGAAATTATAGGTTCAATAAGCATGACCGAATCATTATTTCAGTCCCTAGAGATGGAGTGTAGTTTCCGACAATAAGAAGAGATACAAGGCATAATCCACAATAGGTTATTCATTATTAAACATGAGTACAAGGAG